TAGTACTAGTAGTAGTAATACTAGTAGTACTAGTAGTACTAGTAGTACTAGTAGTACTAGTAGTACTAGTAGTACTTCTAGTGCTAGCAGTACCAGCAGCACTAGCAGTACTAGTAAACTAGTAGTTGAAGAAACGAAAACCCTCAGCATATATACCTGGACTGCGCGTGTATCCACGCAAGTCTATACACAGCTCTGTGTGTGCGCTTGTCCGTGTGCATTTGCGGCTTGCTTCGCGGTTATGTACCGAAGCAGAAGCACTAACGACAGGTACAGACGAGCTCCTGGAGAACGGGCTCATGCTGGTTCATGCTGGTTATACCACATACAAACTATACAAACCAAGATCTCGGCGGTGACTTCGACTCAATGCTATGCGGCTTTGAGGTTGCTCAAGAACCGCCTGAAAGCCTGATGGCGGCCAGAACTACACTGCATCCTAAGTCGAGAAAATCGGATCGGTTTCCTACAAAGCCTCGCCTTGGACTTCGTTGAAGCCTCGCCATCGATGAAGTCGGCCTGGAGCTGGGCTTTAAGTGGCTTGTTCATGTCAACGACACCATGCCACGGAAACGGCTTTGACAACTCTACATTGAACAAACCTGCTGAAACTTTCGTATCATTAACCGCGTCGCCCAAACCAGAACCCACTGTCTGGCTATAGCACTCCATCACAACATCAAGCACCTGGAGGCCTGTATTGCACCGGCCGGACTTCTCCAGACTTCGAATACCAAACACAGACAAATGCAACCCAGGTTTACCACCCAACTGGGCTCAGGCTACAACAGCACATACTTGCAATCGTAACATTACACGTCTCTTCGCAGAGCAACCGCCTCAAAGCTTCCTTCAGCTCCCTCGCTGTCCTTGAGGCCGGGGTGTACCGAAACTTGTACTTTGGTTCATGCCGGTTTCGGGCTTTGGGTCCGGGACCGTCTGGGAGTCTGGACATAGCTGTTTGACGGCTTTGAGAGCTCGGGCTTTGAGGGTCTGAGGATGTCTGAGGCTGGGGCACAAAATATCACCAGGTGGAAGCGACAGCGTGAAGCTCGCACAACCCGACCCCATCGCGTCCTTGTGGCAGAGCTCCGAGGACATGAAGAATTCATCAATCTGCATACCAGGGTCCATGTCCTGCCGGCTTGGCCAAGGCCTTACAGCTTGCTTGAAAGGGCCGAGATTCTTCGATTCAGGGCTGAGGACGTTCCAGCGACATGCGACTCGGGCCTTCAACTTTGTCTGTTCAGCTCAGTGTGAGCAGGTGCCTAGCCTTCCGCCGGGCCACGCTTGAAGCCTAGCATTCGGTCTTTCAGCGGAATCTGACTGTGTAGGGTGCAAAATCTTGCAGTTCCTGGAGAAGCAGTCCCATGGCGCACCCAAAATATCGAGAGCCTCAAAAGCGACAGCCTGCCACGATTAGCCTGAAACCCCACTGTCGGATGGCTCTGTAGACGAACACCCTTGAACACCGAGACAAGTCTCTCAAGAACCACAAACTGGTTTTCCTGACCCGATCCTTAGCCCTCAAAAGCCCTTCGCAAGCCCCGAAGCCCAGCCCTGCACTCCACCCTTGCAGCAAGCAACACCGAACCTCCAGTGCGTCCACCTCAAGTTCCACTTCTGCTGGGACCTTGCAGGGGAACTAGCTTGGAGCTTTCCGGGCTTCCGCATCTGGGCGCATCCCCAACCATTGAGACGGTGGCGGCCCGCGATTAACGCTTCTTGCATTCTTCTGGCTTCTACAATAGTTAATAGTTTCGCCGATGCTTCAAACTCTGCTCCCTGAGCATCGAATTTCCTTGGACGCAGCCCTAAGATCCGAAGTTTTGTCCCCCCCTGACCCCGAACCCCTCAAAGCCCTTTGTTGAACCTTTGAAAGCGCCAGAACTCCGGAGGCATGGCAGGCCTTGATATTCGGCTCGGTTCCTCCTTAGGCAGTTCGAGATTCCAGGTTCTTATCAGATCAAACTGGGATTTCAGGAATCGGGTTTCTCGGGGTTTCGCTAATCTACCCATGTTTCCGAGTTGGACTCGCAGATGCTAAGGCGTTAAGGCGTTGAAGCAACAGTCGAAGTGAAGTCTCACCCCAACCACGAGGATACCAATAATCATGCCGGAACATTATCCCGATCAGCCTATCACGACGATGTGGCAAGAAGTGACATCATCAGCACAGCCACAGCGACAAAAACAACAAAACCTACTCGCAGGCGTTGGCGAAACACGCTCGCCATGGACATGGTCATCATCACCATCACCAACAAGCACAAGAACAATAACAAGAACAAGAACCCGAACAAGAACAAGGACAAAAACAATAATCACAATAGTAGTAGCAACAACGACCCCCATCATCCATCACCCCCTCATCATACCATGGTTGTGATTTCGTTGAACTTGCTTGTCGTGCATCCGTGTCTGCGTACCAACTGAGTTTCTGCACTCGCACTCGGGCCTACCAGGCGAGGATCCCCAAAATCGTGGGCGACGAACCACTTCTCAATTCTGCCACTGTGGACACTACTTCAGCCATGGCTGCATTGTGCTTGACGACAACTTTATAAGTGGCAACTGAAACGGCTGACCTCACACACTCTTTCTTTGCTACGAAGATCTGGCAACTGATATGGGGGACACAGGCCCCGAAAGTGACAAAATGGGCCGCAGGCGTTGTGCTCATGCATTCCCTGGAAAAATCAGCCGGCGTGACATGTGCTTTGCACCATCGCCCGCTTGGGCGCCAAGTGGCGCGGCCGCATGCTGCAACCATGGAGCGAATAGCACTGAAGAGATCCACAGCAGGTAAGTGAAAGATGCTTTGAGTCAGCAAGCGCCCTCAGGCAAGCCAAGAACAAGCTTCAATAACCCATCCGGGAATATAAAGACATAACAGAACATAAGCCAGACCGTCCCTTCAGTACTGTGCTCGCCAAATTCACGAATTTCTCTCTCGCAGTCCTGTGGATCCGTAATGAATCCGACTTTGAGTCGGGAGCTTCATAATGTAATGCTGCAGTGTGCTTCTGTTTTCCGTCCTGGGGGAGGCGCAGGACATGGCGAGAGAATCAGAGTCCTGCAAAATCGACACAGGGCTTACGACTCCCTGAGCAGTGTGCGAGCTTGAGTCGCGAAAAGAGGACTCTTCTGTTGACGTGCCTGCACTGTGGTCCGTTCTGCCAGCAGACGTCGCAGTTTTTTGGTTGCTGGAGGCTGGAAGAGCGGAGCGCATATGGCAGCAAGGCCCACAGATCGAATTAACGGAAAACCTTGCTGGGAAACTCCAGGGGCTCAAAGACGAAGCCTGCCGCCGACCCGGACCTAGCAGTCTAAAATCTCAAACACCTTGACGCCGACACTTTCAACCTTGGCGAGCACACCAGGCACCCAGATTCAAAGTCTAGCCCTTGAGAACTCAGTACATTGCAGGACATGACTTCAGGCTATGTCTTGAATGCTGAACCTTATTGTCTCCCCGAAGCATCCCAATCTTGACATTTCGCCTTAGGCCATCAAGTCATGGCATCACTGCAGTGCCCTGCACTGTATGCCGGCGCAGAAATATGGCCAGCCAACAGCTATAGCCCAGTCCGAGGCAAAGATGGAAGAGCATGAAGCCCGCCATCATCAGCGACACAGCGATTGCCACGGCATCTACGCAGTCCATCTGAAACACCCATTCACCAAGCCCATAGTTCACCACCAGCCACAGAGGCAGCAAGGCACGGCGACTCCACAGGCGAATCTCTCTTGCGCACTGCCTCTGGCACTCGTCGCCTGTCTCAGGCTCCGCTTTCTGGACGATGCAGCAGCACCGCCCTCGCTGGCTTTTGGCGGCCTTTCCACGTGTTCCCCACTTGGCTCCCAATCCGTCGGCATTGGCCACAGCCACAATCGGTTGCTGCAGATTCTCGATGAAGGTGGTAAGAGGCACGACGAATATCAGCAGTCCTGCCCACATTCGTCGCGTGCCGTGGGGCGCCTGTGCTGCCATCATCAGTACGCAGACGCCGAGGGTCGAGGCCCAGAAGAAGGGATTCTTCCAAGCGCCGTAGCCCACAAGAAGCACTGCCATCTGCAAGGCTCCCAGCAGCATGAAGAAGCTTGTGCCTGCAGTGTGGAGCCACCGGCGCTGGCAAACAGAGCATCCGGCCGAGGCAAAGGCGTAGAGAATCAGCACGAGCCACAAGAGGAAGTGGATACAGGCCGGAATGCTCTGGTGGCCTGCGGACACAAGAAAGCTCCAAGAGAAGGGATAGCAGTCCATCTCTAGCTGGAAGAAGCGTTCGAGAAAGCGGCCGGTCAGAAAAGAGAACCACAACGTCAGCGTCGCCGGGGCCAGGAAGGGCGTCCAAAGGAAGGAGGCGACATAGATGGGCCAAAACACCCAGCGAGTCGGCTGACAAAGCCAGGCATTGGGTTTGTGGAAAAGCATGGTCAGACGATTTCCCATGTGCGAGCGCTTCCACCGGCACTGTTGCGCCAGGTACTCATTCCATGTTTCTGGCATGAAGGACGTGGCCCAACAGTGGGGCAGGAACCGAATTCCGCCACCATTCTGGTACTTCTCATGGACTAGATTTGTCATGAAGCTGTCCTCTCCCATTTCAATCATCATTGAATCGAGAATCGAGTGCTCGTAAACTCCGCGGCAGAAGTCCGTTTGAACAGCTCGCACCGTCTCCATGGCATACATGGCGCAGGAGCCGTTTAGCGGGAGTTGGAAGCGAACGGCGCTCTGGCCGAGCCACAGCATCCGCTGCGAGAACCAGTCCCTCATCAGCTGCACCAAGAGGCAGAAGTTGTGAGTCTTCTTCGTAAGGAGAAAAGGGCCGCAGGCTGCCAAGTGCTGATCTTGCAGGCACCGGTACATCTTTCCCACATGGGTCGGCTCCACGCGACAATCGCCATCCAGCAGGAGGAGAGCTTTGGGGTTGGCTCGTCCGGCATTGTGGCTGGCCTGGAGGATGGACATGCACAAAGCCTGAGAGGCCCGCTTGGATCGCGGACAATCCTTTCCCTTCACATAGATCTCGAACGGATAAGGGACTGGTGCCTCCTTCATGCCGCGGACGCACACGCAGCCATGAGCCAGCTCAGCCTTGCTTAAGGGGAGGATGGAGGTAAGCGATGCCAAGATCTCTAGGTCCTCCATGGTCTGGACCTCGTCGTGCTTGTGCTTCTCTTGATTTTCGACATCTGCTTCCTGTCTGGCCCTGTGAAACCAGTCCAATATCTCGTCTTGGTCAACGTGCTGAAGCCCGTCCACGAAAATCATCAGCCGAGCCGACGACCCGGACTCTACCGAGTCCAACGTGCTGATGCTGTGCTGCAACTCCTCCCTCGTCTCATTGTAACAGCTCAGCACCACAGCCACATCCTCCTTGCGTTCGGGGTCGTCGCTGATGTTCAGGGACATGGTCGTCATCAAGTTGGGTGAGCTCTGTGGCTTGTACTGCCGGTAGAGTACGAGAAGCTTCAAGATGCCGATACATGTGACGGCCCCTGCCAAGTCGACCAGGCAGGTTCCTGGCCCAAAACGCCACCACTCGCATGAGGGCAGTGTCTCGGTTGCACTTGTGAACATCCTTGCAACGAGCCGCCGGTGCGTCGTGACGACTGAGGCGAAAAGCCAAAAAGGCTTGAGTCAAAATTGCTTTTGAAGCCAGGCCATGCTTCGACTCGCACACTTGTACGTAGCAGACGTAGCAGGCCCTGCTTAAGGATAACCCAGATCTGCAACAGCATCAAGCGCCAGGGCCAGAAGGAAAGGTGATTGCGGTGTCGCGCACCCTTCGCCGGGGGCCTCCTTTATTCACAGAATGCAACACCCTGTGCCCGAGGCCCACGGCGCCAACCCTGAAGTCAGAAAATCTGCACCGGGGAATCCCGGAGTCTGCAAGGGCCCCGGGCTACGTTCGACCGGAGGTGCTCCTGGGCACTATTGCTTCTGTATTTCAGTAACGTAACTTTGTGGTCGCGCACGAGGTTTCGCAATCTCAACTAACAGAAAGATAGCGGCAGTAGTAGCAGCAGAAACTGGCAGCAGGAATAAAAAAGACGACAAGCAAACGAGACCAAAAGTAGTCACCACAGAGATAAGTAGAAGGTGATGACAGCCATGATGGCACGAGAAATATAAAGAAGTTCGAAGGCGCTGGGCTCACGGGGATGAACTCGGGCGCCTTCGGTGAGGCTAATGCGTCTGCACAGCTGCGAAAAATCCCTCAGACTGGACTGGTAAGCTTGTATCTTGCATTGACACCTAGAATGCAGGGGGAAATCGTCTCAACCCAGCTGCAAGACTAAGGAAAACGTACAAGCCTACTTCAAGAGTGCACGCCGACTTGGCCGCGGCTTCCAAGATCGGCTCTGGCCGTTATGATGCTATGATGTGCTTGGCTCACTGCCCACCTTGCGGAATGAATGACCCATGGCGCAACCACTGCGCACTGCCTACTGCTTCTATTGTAAGCAGCAGTTTAAGCCTAAGCCTGAACAGGAACACACACACACACACATATACACTCGCACATGCCCGCAAAAACTCCAAAGATGTCTCTCCTACGTCCTGCGCTGGCGATTATCCTGAATATCGTTGAGTATCGACACCATCGACATCACCAGCTCCTCCCATCACTACAACCGCACTCACCACCACAATCATCATAATATGTAATATGTGATAATCCAAGAGCAGTGGCTACTATCATGGACAAATCCATGCCACAGCATCTGTTCTACCCTTGCTGTTGCTGTTCGTGTTCAGAACACGCTGCTGCATGATCCCACCAGCTTCATATCTATTTGCGGCCATAATCAATCACACCATTCTCCTCACAACCACCGCAATGGAAGCACGACCATCAACAGGAACAGAAGGGGAAGCAAAACCATGTCTTAGAAGAAGAGAAACACACCGCAAGTCTGCATCATCTTCATCATGGCTTTCATCACCATCACCAGCACCACCTTCACCAGCACATACTCTTCACAGTTACCGTAGCGACGGTGGCCACGGCAGGTACCGAAACCAGGACAAACCCACAAGAGCTTGGTGCCCCGACCCTCTTCTAGATCTTCCATGGAAGGAGGCTCTACCTCCTGTTTTCAGTGTGAGGGCTCCGGGTTGTCAGACTTTGGGGTCTTGCCAGGCTTGGGAGTGTGCCATGGCAATGCTGATAGAGAGAACACAAGCAACTCAGGCTTGACGGCTTGACGGCGGTACCTAGCATGAATGTGAAGCCTTCTTCGGGGTCTCTCTCGCACCTGGAAAACCTTCGATGCACTTCGTTGGTGATCTTGATTTCTGGACGGTCCTCCTTGACCCTTGGAACCAACAATTTGAATGTGTCGTTAACGCGTACATGTTGAGACGCCAGCTAGCTCGTGAGGGAGACGTTGCAACACTTCACGAGTGCTGACAGTGGTGATTGCACTCTATGCAATGGTGGCCCCGATAAACAGCAGAATCCTCACACTGCCGTTCTGATAAAATCAGGCAAAGTTTAAATCAGCAAGCAAATCTAATTGATGGCATCTGATTATGAACACCAGCATGGCTACTATCTCTTCTTGAATATGACGTTGCGGGTGACGGACAAGCAGACGATGCCACAGCACTCTGAAGATGAGGGCTTCTTGGCTCCAATTGCTGCCTTGCTTGCAAGCTGCAAGCTAGAGTTAGAGGCCCGCAATCCCAAACATTAGAGCTCAAGCCTCAACCCCATGCCTCAGACTCCCTCACCCCCTCGAGAATTTGATCCAAAACACGAGGGGCAGACCGAGTTGGTCCGAAGCTTATAAATCAAGCCCATTCCCAACTTCAGGCAAACAACGCGCAAAGCTCGACAATTCTTGTTATGTTAGCTCGAAGGCTTCGAGGCCTTTCACTTCTGGTTCAGATCTTGGTGCTTTCAAGCTCGGAAGTCTTGCGTCTAATGTCTGGCAAGGGCTAAATGTTCACCATCAACTGTCGTGTGAACTGCGAGAAACAGCAGCACCAAGTACCAGCCAATCGAATTTAAAGTCCAACGACAGAGACCAGTCTGCACCCAAAGGAGGCTAAGTCAGAAATGATCGAGGCCCTCTCGAGAAACCCCCCGGACGAAGGCAGGACTGGAAAGCTCAACGCACACACACCCTGTCACTGCTGAAATCGTAGCGTCTGCATGCCATCCGAAAACGTATCGAAACCCAAGTCTGCAAGCTCTGGGCCCCAAAAAAGAATCCACACTCTGCGCGAGGGGTTCCATAAACCAGGGGGTGCTTTGCAGTACCTGGCCCCCTGCCATGCCCTGATAAGGACCGGGCCTCGGATCGACCTCGGTGGTTTTAAACTCTTGGGGTCTCTTGGGAGATGCTTTTTGTTCGAGGGCTTCTTGGATAGGGGAATTTTCGAGGGGGCTCAGAAGAGTTGTACACGGGTTGATTCAGGGCTGTTCACAGGCTCTGCTTCTGGCATTATCTGGCGCTGGCATGGCAGCTGGAAGCTCGGGACTCGGGATTCGCTGCGCCAGAACCAGGCCGCGACGGCTACATTCTGGCTCCAGGACTACGACAAAATCAAGTCTTTGTAGCGGCCTGGGCACTGAAGCCTGGGATGCAAAAATCCTCGCCGCGACCAGCCCGACCTCACAACTCTCAGCTTCAGGTTTAGGCTTTTCCGGGCATTGAAATGTTCGAAGGTTTTGGATGTAAGGTTGCGTTTAGGGTTCCGGTTGGGAGGGTTCAGCGTTTTTCGGGTTCAGGGACTTCGCTTCGTTTTGGGGTTCAGCTCGGTACCCATGCTCTGGCAGCTCCGGGCACTCTGCGGGCCATTTACTCAGGTCGCACCTACATACAAGCTTCGGCGGTCGTAAATCCAAAGTCAAAGGTGTCCGAGACCCCTTCCGGACCCTTCCGAGCTGGGACACCTCTAGCGGCCGAAGGCGCGAAGAGCCTGAGCTCCGGGCTCCGACGGTGTTTCTTCTCCTTTGATGGGCGCCTCTTCGACTGCTCCTCCTTCGGCTCCATTCGCGCAAGGCAGGCAAGACTCCACATGTCAAAAAATACTATCTAGCAGGGTTTAGGATTTCGACTTTAGGATGTTCTAGCTCGTTGATGTGCTCAGAACTCATGCCAAGACTTTGGCCCGGAAATCCGGGATGTTTTGTTCTTGGGGCCTTTGAGTTGCGCATGCTCCCTGAGAGGTGGTTTTGGTGTTTTGCGGCTTCGAATTCAAGGGTCAGGTCGAGCGCCTTAGGGGTTTCGACTCTCACCCAGGTTTGAGGGCTTGGTTTACACAGTAGGGGTGCCCCGGGCACAGTTGGGAAATGCAATAAGTGACACAGAGCCCTTAGTTGGGGGTGGCTCATGAACGATCACGACCCGCGGTCATCCCCTCCCTTTCTTAACACTGAACCTCCAAACATGCAGAAAAAGTTGGGAAACGCCTCGGTAGCCTTCTTTGAACCCTTGCTTCTCGATGGCAGGAAAGCGTCCGCTCAGAAAAACCTGCAAGATTGTGGATTGTAGAGCAATCTACACGGTATGCCTGGCTTCCACGAGTGGCTGGAAACATCATGCTTGAAACTTATGTCCAAACTGCGACCAAACATTTGTAAAGGATGGTCGCCACCATCACCCATGAACAAAGATGTGAGACTGCCACCGGCTTCAAGATCCACAAAGCACCCAGCACTCCTAATGCCCAAGTCAGCGACGTGCTCCACCACAAGATTGCGGCTGTGAGGATCATGTACGAAACGAACAGGACGTGGGTTTTGACACTGGCATGTGCCAGTGGTTGTCCATGCACTGCGATGCTCCAAGTTGCCCTGTCACTTGTGGCCCACCAGTCCCGTGGAACTTCGTCTTCCGCACTTGCTGCATCAGAGTGTGTCACAATGCGCCCTGTCTCCATGTGCAACGCTGCCACTGCAATTCTCTGGTTGTCTTTGATGAGCCGGTATTCGCACATCGGCGACGGCCCGAGCGGGCCGCCAGGAAATGGGTTGAGCATGGTCTGGTTGATGTTCTTGAACCCTGCAGTTTTGACTGCGTCTATGACAAGCCCGCTGAGATGCGATTTTTTGCCGATGGAATCGACATTCAACGTGTTATTATTTCTGTCAGCCCATTCGTGGCCGCCGACAATATGCACTTCTACTTCACTTGGAGATACCTCGGCAAAGCATGTTCGGAGCGCGAGAACCAGCTCATGCAGTGCATGCTTTGAAGGGTTTCTGTAAAAGCAGACACCCATTGCGTTTTGAAGGCACGCATGCGCGCCGAAACCCTTTGGACAATGTGGGCCTTTCTTCGTCCATGCAAACACGACAACACAACATAGCACGGCAACGGTCGAGAGGAACTCTTGATCCTGGCTCGATTCTAGGAACTGCCCCATGCAAAACAGCGCATTTGAAGCATACAGCCTCTCACGAAGCCTTGGGGTGAAGCGTGTAGGCCTCGATCGCGAGAGCTTCAGCGACGCGCGATAGTTCTCTTCAACATCCTTTCGAAGAAGCGCTTCTTCGTCGAGCTTACCAGCGGGACCCATTGCGTGGCAAAGCGCAGCCGGAGCTGATATGTGTGGATATGCGCTCTCCTCAAGCTGAACACTTGAGAACACAGGCGCAGCACGAGCATCATCGAGACGCACTGTAACGATCTTAAAAGCCTTATTTTCTCCTGCTGTTTGCAACGTTTTCGATGCTGATGTTATTCAGAACTAATCACATGGTGCACTGTCGGGCTTCGCAGCCGGCTCGGGATTCGACACCTGGGCTACAGTTCTACAAGTATCACCACCGGAACAAGAAACCCTGCAGTCTGCGCGAAACTACCCTGACCAAAACCGCCCTGACCAAGATCTCCTCCTCGATCGGATGCATACAGCCACCACCTAGCGGCGTCGCTAGGGCCTCGGCACCAGGCAAAGTCACGAACACGAGGCTTGTGTCATTTAAGAACCCACGACTAACCTAACTGCAGCGGCAACAGCAGTCCAGTGAGCGAGCAGAAAGTCGTCGCAGCGCAGCGCAATGTCAGGCCCCGGCTGCTCGAGGGGAGCGCTCCTGCTGCGGGCGGGGCTCTGCACGCGCTTGCCTTAGAGACCAGGGAAGGGCAGGGCGGTTCCTGGGAATGGGAATCCGGGCGAAGCATCTGAGTTCGTAGGGTGAAGGACAAGCCACTACCTTGAGCAACATAGGACGGCAACACAGTTCCAGAAGGATACGTAGAGAGCCAACGAATGTCGCCTGCAGACAGCCATGTGATGTCTGCTTGGTCTCCTGTCCAGCCGCCTGTCCCAACACCCACAGAACCAAAATACAGCAGTGCTAGTCCAGACAGACGAGATCAGTAACATTAAGCAGAAAGTTACAGTTGCAAGTAGGGGGGAAACCACCAAATTTGAGTTCTGCCGCTACTGCCAATCATCAGGGACTCAGACGTTTTGGGCCTGTGAAGGTTTGGAGTTCGCGGCTTGTCGTTTGGATCGTGGCCTAGGTTTCTGACATTCGCACTTGCAACCTCGCGCCGTTGCAACATGGCCATGTCTGCTTCTTTTGGCTTCCGGGATAAGACCATTTTGGTATGTCGTGTCATGTTGGAAGGGGCTGGATTCCTACTCGGGCTTAAACTACACCGAAGGGAGAGCAACGGCCGGAGCAGCCACAAATCAGACTCGGCCAAAAATCTGAACTCCGTCAAACTTCAAACATAAACTCCAGACACCCCAAGCCACCAAAATACTAAGTGCGAGACCCTCAACCCAAAACCTGAACGTGGAAAAGGGAAATCGCAACAGCACCTCCTTGCTCGAACTTTAGCCTGGTGGCTGTGCTTCTTGTGCTTTCGTGGGCAGCAGTGGACTGCGAGGTTCTTGAGCATCGTTGCGGCCCCTCGGCCGCACGGTGTTTAAGCGTGCTGCTGCAGCGTACTGTGAGCTGTAATCCTCGCGCAGAGTACCAAAGTCTTTCTACTCATGCAGGTCTTCGTCATGGCGACCGCCATCAGAAGTTCTACTAATTCTACTATGTGTGTCTTGCTCCTCTGCGTGCTTGCTACAATGCTACAACCATGATCGAGAATAGCGAGGTTGGCATTGTCGAATTGCGTTGCAGGTTTTGCTTGTCACGCATGTCCAGTTCACAGTTTCCGTCAGATTTATAGTGGCTGACGTCGCGAACTTCTGCTGTTCATGGCATAAGAAGCAGAAACTTTTCTGCAACGGCGACTACAACTACTTCTTCCCTTGGCATTACGACCCTTGATGCTGGTGCTACTCGGCAATAACGATGCTGTCCTGTCTGCAGTCTTGCTGTTGTCGATCTGATTTTGTTTGCCCTGCAGTTGCTACTGTCGCCGCGCCGTCGTCGTACTATCGAGGCAGGGAAGTCTTAGTGAACCCAACAGCAGGATGTGGCCCCTCTGTCAAGCTGCACCTGCATTGCTGGACACATGGAACCGGGCACCCGGCTGAACCTTCGACTGAAACATAGAGTTGGCAGCTGCGGTGCGTGCACACTCTAGTGCCTGAACTCAGCTCGGGTGCATTTGGAGGAAAAAATCACAAAGGGGACCGTCTCAAGTAAGCTCTCGAACCGGCATGTCCGAAATGTTCGTGCAGTGGTCCTTTGCGGGCCCACGCCATACTTCAACAGGCTTCAGGCATGCCGACTCTTGCGTTCGAAGAGGAAGAGGCAGATAAGGCTTCACGACAGTTGGTCCCATAGGTATGTCGGAACAGAACACCACTGACCCACTAACCCTGCCCCCAGGTTCCAACCACGGCTACAATGCACTTTGGTATGTTGGGTTCCTAGGGTCTGCGGGATCTTGAGACGCTTCGAGAGCAGCTCTTCAGGGTCACATTTTCAACAAATGGCTTATGATACTATGTGCCGAGTGCATAGACACACATAGTATGCTTGCGAGCAACCTTTTTATGTTAAACCGGTTCATCATTTACGCATACTCACATCGTGTTTAGACTCAGACCTGTTCATTTAGTGGTTGGTTCTCTATTCTACTTCTTGCTCCGGTAAAGTTGGAGGGCTGGCTGGCACAACGAAGCCGATGCAAGCACCACCAGTCGTAGGCATACAGATTTCAGTCTGAAGCATCAGCAGCGCTGGGCAACGGTATGTCTTCCCTTTAAGCTCGGGCGTGCCAGATAAACAAGAAACCAAAAAAGTACCAGACCGCTTCGCGCAGCAGCCTTTAACAAACGAAATCTCAAATCAAACTGCACCGCGAGTGAAGCGCCGTAGCATTCCGAAAAAACATTGAACAAATCCCCAATTTCCCCCGTGCATGAGATATGTTTCTTCAAGATCTCAGCCACCGCACCCTCTTGAACTGAAGCCGCTGCTCCGGAACGCAGATCGCTGAATGGTGGGCTTCCTCACAGCTGACCCCATCCATCCTGATGCCCGAACCTGGCATCCGAACCCACGATGGAATCGGACATGTAGCATAAAGGGTCTAGCATCAAGAACCTCCAACCTCCCAAGTGTATGCATGCCCCGCACCATTCCAGCCCGAAGCAGCCAGCTCAAGCAGCTCAATTCTCAAATTAATGCAAGTTGTCATTCAGTTCGGTGTGCTGAGCGCCAATTGCTTTGACTTCGCGCACCAGGGTTCAGGCTAGGCCTGGATTGGGCCAGGGATTCAGCGTCATGGTGGGATCCAAATTTGCTTTTTGATGGGATTCGGAGCATGACACGAGCCTGGACCTAGGAGCTCGGGCCCCTCAGTGAGACCCCCAACCTTTTCCACAGGCTTGAACTGAGCTCGCCCGGCCAGATCCCCCATTATAACACCAGGCTCGAACCCTGACCACGCAGGACGTCCTCCACGATCTCGCCTAAGAGCTTAAGGAACTTCATTTGCCTTGGCTCTCAGATTGCAGCGCTCGCGTTCTGACTGACCAGCACAGGAAAGCATAATAGGCCAGAGACGATAGCGACAGGTGAAATTGTGGGGTTTCTGGAATATCAGCTGAAGGCGGGCTGGCGAGTGCGACGGAGGACGCAGGGCTGTTGGCCCTCATCCTGCTTGATGCGTGAGAGTTTGCAAGTGGGCTGGTGCGGCTAAACATGAACTAGGGTTTACTATAAGGGCGGGTGCGGGTGCGTGTTGCGTATGCACATGACGTGTAGTCCAGTATGACGGATCGAGCAGAGCACAACACGACGCAGCATTTCCTACAACATAGTGCAGTGCAACATACTAAAAACAACTTCATATGATACAACATTTGACACAAAAACGAAACAATAGAAAAGAAGCAAACAAACAAATGTGTTCTCTCTCGCTGCCGTACAGTATACCATAACAGAACATCATACAGATTGGTTTTCAGTAGCAGGCTCAAAGCCCGTGTGGCACTGCTTGGGGTTGAAGACTCTGGGCTTCATGAAATTGCCAAGACTCCGGTCAAGACTGTGACTATGTACTCTTGTAGTCGCCAGGAAGTCACGACCAGCAGTACAAAGCTAGTGGAGTTTGTGGTCGCTGCAGCACATACACTGGTGTAACTTTTACAGCTTACTACTGCCTACGACTGATAAAGTGATGCTCATGTGACTGACATTGTTTTTGTTCTCTCTGATAATATTATATTACCTTTACAAGATATTACCCGTCCGTCTGAAACTGCTGCCATTATTCCTGCCAGAAGTGTTTGTACTGGCACTGGTATATCCACGTCTTCTACTGAACAAGTGACACTAGTGTTACCATCCATGTAAGAATGATTGTTCTTGCTACTGCTACTACCACTTTTTCGGTACTATGGGGATTCTGATCCATCATTCAGAAATAACCCCGGGGTTTAGCTACGAGCTTAGGCTTCGAAGGCAAGGATGGGTTCGTGGCCCTGAAGTAGGCTCTTGCGTTGTGGTGTGGCGCTTTGGAGCAAAGGACCTGACAAGCTGCATCCGGCATCCTTGAAACCTAAAGTTTGTCGCAGGTGCAACGGTTTAGTCCCGGCATTGGTAATGACATGGTGGGGAAGAGCTCATCTTGCAACAGAGCCAAGCGACAGCGGCGGCGTCGGAATGGTCAAGGGAAGCATAATGGCGTGCAGCATAGGTGCCTGCAGATGCCCGTGACGTTTGCAGGACTCACTCATCATCGAGGGAACTGGACGATTAATCGACACGAACCCAAACAAAAGTCATCAACGCTCATCCCATTCTTCAGCACTTGCCCTTCCCCTGCATACTCCTGAGACTCCTCAAACGCTCCTTACACCTAAGACAGAGCCAAGGCACCATATCGACAGAGATAGCAACGTTCAACGGAAGATCGATTCTGCGGGGCATCGCACCTCGGGATCAATCCCACTCACTCCTTCATTTGTAACCTCTTACCAAACATAAAATATAGACGGAGAGCATGTACAAGTAACCGCAGACACTAGCAAACACAACGACTTCAAACTAAGTCGCAGCGATATGCACGCACGTATACAATTGCAAGCGCATGCATGCATGAGCATGTAGATGCAGATGTAGTTGAGCATGTGTGCCCGCATAACAGCACAAGCGC